GCGATGTTGGTTTTACTGATATTATGTGCTTTCGTCCTTCCTTCTCTTTTTGGACAAGCTGACAGGAAGACCCAGCAAAAGCCGTGCCTGACATTCTACTTCAGCTCTTCATCAGGGTGACTACAGCGGTCGAAGCTCCTGATACTGTTCAGGTTTTGCAGCTCGGCCCGTTGAGGTTCACAGCACCAAGAGCCCCCAATCAGCGCGCAGAATATTTTGCAGAGCAAGGCGGAATTTTAGGTCGCAAGTTCCGAGCATATTATGAGACATCGACAGACATGGTCCGTGTATGCTGCAGGTAGCAATGCAGATTGAGAGTCTACGATCTTCAGACTGCATAGCAGATGCTGAGCGCCTGGCTTCTCAGGCTGCTTACTTCTGCCGTGTCGTTCCGAACCGCCTGCAATCTCTTATGGGTGGGAAGCCTAGTTCACGAGCGCTTTGGAATGCTTTCATGCAAATGAAAGCGCCCATACCTGAAAAAGACCAAACTAAGTGATCACGGACGCTCGACTGTTCGGCGGTGGGATACAATCAAGCCGTAGGATTGTCCAATCGAGCTAGTAGCAGAACCTGTTTCACGATGCAGGTGCTGAAGATCATTCTGAACTCAACGAATGGCTCGGCCGGGGATTTGGCGGTTTCAAGGCCAGGAAGACTGGTAGGGGACAACCCGGACTGTTGATATTACGAGCCAGCAGGAGGAGCACTTTCATGGACTTGTGGTGTCAGTGGCCGCTACCATTGAGGGCCTTCTTCGTAGCAGTGCTGGTACACTCAGCATTAGTGCGAGCAGTACTACTGCTAATGCAACTTCGTACTACACTACTACAGATGCTCATACTACAGTGGGTTGATGTCACGTGAGAAGGACCCTGAAGGGTTTGAGGAGATCCTAGGTGGAGGTTTACCACCTGGGCGACAACCAATACTGTATGCTTGTTTTGTCATTTCAAGGCTGGCTTTGAGCTTTGGATTCGGCGCTTCAGGGATTAACATTCCAGGCGTCAGAGATGGGGGCTTTGAGGGTACATACGAAGAAGCCTGAATCCGGCTCCGCCGGCACTTCACACGAAGGCGGGATTTGTCGTTTCTCTCTCGCCCGCTGATGCGAGTCAGGCCGTGCTGCTCCAGAATCCAGACAGGCTCTGTTCTGCAACTTCTGCCTTAAGTACTCATGTCAAATCGCAAGCGGGACGTCTCGCAAAAACCAACTCAACCACTACCCTGAGTACCTCTACTGCTTGACTTTTTTGCATGATTATAGGTATCAATCGAACTATTCTGGCTATTGTTTACGATGTGTGGCACTTGAAACGAGCCCATCCCCGGCCCATGCGATCGAAACCGAAAAACCCTAATATGAAGAACGTCGGGTGCAGTGTCGGCTTCAATTTGGGCAGGTTTGTATCATTACGGGAAGAAGCTATGGTTGACTACTTGCGTTACTCGCGAACTTGTCTGACGCATGCGATGTCACGATAAAGTCTTCTGCAGGAGTCAGGAAGCAGGTACTTGCACAGATTCGTTCCGCGTCAAGATTTCAAAGTCAATGCGCGATGTGCTGAGACATGTCACTTCCCACTGCGGATGCTGGAGAAATGGAGCATTGCAACCCTTCTGTATATGCTTCCGACAATCGGTCCGTCACTTGACATGGGATGGCTTTGAACAAATTGAAAAAATGACAAGAATCCAGAGCCTCAAACCTAGAGGCACGTTGAAGGGAAAGAGAACCTGCTGCCGCCTCCGGCCAGGGAGCATCCGCATCGCACTCGACCAGATCCGAGCAACCTGCAAAGGCAACGACACAACTCGAGCTCGCTTAGCGCGGCTATAAGGAAGACTCTCTGCAAAGGCACATGAGCTCGACTTCGAGACAATCTTCACTGTGGGCCCGAACGGTGCGACTCAGACAAGCTCCAGCCACGGGGCATGCACGGACCGAGGGACAAACTATTGCCTTTTCCTTACATGCTACTCAACGTGCACTCTGCTTGCATGCACCGCTGTTGCATTGCCCACAAATGGTAGCTTGAAGCTTTTTTGACGATGTTTGATGGTGTTCACATCTGCGAAGCCAAGTATCATTCAATGACTTGCAGGTCATCTGCTTGGGATCCAGGTCTACAATATCCCCACATGCACATGGGCACATCCTTGGTTGTAAGCAGACAACGGCTTGGCTTGCAAGGGGCTTCTGCAACCAGGTCCCAGCATGCTAGACTCAGTAGTACGTGCCCTCAATATCTCAGAGTTTTGTCTTTCCCACGTCATCGTGCTGTAGACTCTGACTTCGTCGAACGTTCGAGTTTGATTTTCAGGTGTTGGGTTCGCAGTTCGCAGCCCGTAAAGCGATTGCCAGCTCCAGAGTCCGAGAATGTCACAAATCAGTCCGGGCTCCAGCGGCTGTTGCTCTTGCCGCTGACAAAGCCCTGACAAGACCGGCAGCTGAGGCGCCGGGAATCAGCAAAAAGCAATGAACACCCGGACCGGACGGAGGCAGGTCGGGAGGCCTCGGCACTCCCTCCAACCCCCAGCGAAAAGCTGGAGCTTTACAAGCCCACGCCCATCTCCCCGTGCATGCTCTCACCCCATCACCACATCTTACTGATCCCACCTGCTCCTCCCAGCTCTTCCTCTGTGGACGATCGCGCTTCGCCTCATGTCAAACGAGAGTCCGAAGTATTGAAAATGTCTTCAAGTCCTTTCGAGTCGTCAGACGATTAGTCGGAGCCGTCCTTCGCCAGTGCATGTCGCGCTGAAGCAAGCTCCTCTGGATTGCTCCAAGCATGTGAAACACGAGGCTGGCCGCGCATGGTGTGATACGACCGATGCAGTCCTTGTAGACGTCGGAACACTCAGACTTTGCACACTCTTCCTGCCAAGCACCAACACTAACACGGCGAATGTCACCGATACGAAGAGTCCCACGTTATCATAGTCCTTTCCATGTTACGTGGGCGACCATTGTGATGCAGCAGGCCTTCGTAACGATGCAGTCGCGGTTGAGGCCTCGCTGAAACTGTGGCTCCTCTTCCTTGCAGTCGACGGCCCACACCGCACAGCAAGGCTTCCCATGTACGACACCGTCTTTCGTTACCTTGGCCAATCATACCGAAGCGATTTCCCTGCAATAAGCTGTCGCCGTATCTGGAATGCGGGTACTCTTGCACATCGTCGAGGCACCCACTCGCAAGTGTCAATCACTGCACCAAGTTCCGGCTCGAATCTCTCACCATTGATCTCAGAGCAGGAACAGCAATGGCTGGAGCTGAAGTAGCCATTCGAGCACCGTCGCGGCAGTGAATAACCCGTCTCACCAACGGACTCGGCATCACCCACCTTGGCACGGTTGGGACATGTTGGGACTTTAGGCATCGACACCCCCGGCCTCAGTCCGCAATGCGTGCACGGGAAACAGCACCATGAGAGGCCGCCACATGGTGAAGGGGCTTGTCTAGCCGTGCAACATTCAGATGGACTCAGTCAAACTACGAGCGGCAACTTGAGCCAGCTCAAAACCAGGTTCCAGCATGCCCCGCCAGCAAAACGTCTAAAAGTGAAGTCTCGCAGCTCAAGCGAGCGAACATGAATCCTAGGTCCTATAGCTAGCGGCCTCAAGCATGCCTCGGCGATATGCCAGGCAGAAGAAATGACATCTCCAACAAGACATGCCCTGTTATGCCCCGTTTCCAAGTCAAGACCATTGGCCTCGCAACTGTGCATCAGATCACCACTATGGACCAACACTGTCCATGTCAATCTGGTGCACCCTCCATTCTAATTCTGGGGCACGCAGCGGGCGAACCACAAAGAAGACTTCTGTACCAAAGCGCCTCGTGAGGGAACGCTTCCGATGTTCCGAATATTTGCGCATACTCTTGCAAAATACTGAGCAATGAAAGACAAACTGGCACAGGTACAGTGTGAGAGTGCTCTGGACGCTGCAACCCGTGAAGTCGTCATCCGTCAGATGTGGAACGAGCCACCGAAGCGTTGTTACGCCTCCACGGCAAGCAGCCAAAAGGCTGCTGCAGGCCAGCCACCAAAGCCGCCAAGTCCTGACACCGCGAGGGCTTTTGTATTGTTTGCATCTGGGTCCAATGGGCCACTGTTGGCGTCTCGTTCTGCATGTGGTGAGCGACCAGCGCCGTTGGTCGGTGCTGGGACTGATCGCAAACTCGACACTACAGTAGTGTGGTCACATTTATTCGACATCCAGCCACGAATCCCGAACAGATCCCCGAATGCTGTGTCGGTTTAAGGTGAGGCGTGTCTGGCGCGGGCCGAAGTCCAGTCAAAGTCACGCCGGCAATGAATCAACACAACTACCAGCAACATGATTTATGAGATTGTGTTTCGTCGGCAACCCAGTGAAGCAAAGAAGCTAAAGCAAGGGATCATAGTGGTATACACCTGTTAAGTCTTAACGTTGTCTCGATTCGATTTTGTCCTCGGCCGCGGCGCGCCTGGAGGGAATACTCTTCCCACAAACGCATGCATGAGAGTCAAGCTGTTGTCGCTACTGACAGCTGCTGCCGCAGGGCAAACTACAATGGAGGTCTAGATGCTTCGCTTCGCTTCTTGATGGTTCTTGCAAAGCTTTCACCGAAGCCCGCAACAAACTGATACAGTTACTGGGCAACATCCCCTGAACTAGCTTGAGCAACTTGCCTCGATCTGTCTGTGCAGCCTTGTAGATGAGCAAGGCAGAGCCATGAACGGAAGTGATGGAAGTATATTACATGCCACGTCCCTGCAACTTCAGGAGAACACAATGTGAACCGCAGGCTTGACTCGGGAATTCTTTTGCCAGCTTTTCCCAGCCAACATACCACCCCATGGCTGCCCAAGGTTCATCAGATTTTGGCCATGTGACAAAGCTGAAGCTGAAGCCGAAGATGTCCAGCAATGGGATCAAACAATAAGAGCATCGAGATGCCCTACTCAAGATCTGAAGTTGTTCAACGTCTGCACCAAGCATGCTGCCGAATGACTACGAGCAGCTCTATGGCGTTCCTTCGCGTGCTGAAAAGTGATCAGGGGCCGATGCGATTCCAGTCTGAGCCACCTTTTCATGGCAATGCACACGCCTCAAGATCTCCTGAAGCCATGCAGATGGATCACTGCACTTGCAGGGATGCTCTGGATATTCCGACCTGAGTATGTACAGACTTCGCCAACATAAGTGCTCAAGAACAACAGCACTGCGGAAACCTAAACTCAAATCCGTTCAGAACACTCTCAGTGGCCACACTTGCTCAGGAAGCGGCTCGAGTGCTGCCTCGACATACTTCATCTGCAGGAGCTGTGGACCAGTCATTGGCCTCCAATGCTACGAGGTGCGCAAGTGTGCTACATGGGCCGACGCAGTCACTGGCTTGCTTAAAGCCTAGAGCGTTGATGCAGAAGGACAGTACAGACAGCTGCAGACCGAAAAGGATTCAATTGTTTCCATGGCCTGCGAGAGCGGCGACGGAGCCGTTGAAGATGCTCACACAAAGCAGGAGCCTGGCCGTCTCAAACTCAGGTGAAGCCAGCTAGGTTTTCATCGAGCTTCAACAGTTCTTGCGTCGTGTAGCTGCTCTCTCCCTGCATTTGTCGCATGCCAGAGATGACCGTGGCAAGGAGAGATCGGAAACATGAGGAAACGACTAAACTAAGGCCTTGCGTCCTTCGTCCTAACGTTATCTAACGATAGACAGCAGTAGATGGATAATATTGTTGCAAACTTTAGGCAGGTCGTTTTAAAACCGAATTGCAGCCCGGTGCAGCATACTCATAGTCGATGATGATGATTACTATTATCATCTGTTATTGCTGTGCTAACACTATGCAATTTATTGCACTCCTCACTCAGTATGGGATGCAACACCGCGGGACGATGGGAAGACAATGGAAGACAAGACCAAAGCCGCCTGCATTCTCTGGGCGCTCTAACACACCCACTGGCTTAGCTTCGACACGGTGTGCCTGAACACAGCTAGGCAAAGACAGTTGTCTCACGCGTGAACTATGCATGTAGCTATGAATACCATGGAATCATGAAATGCAGCCTTCGGGGTGCTGACTGGCATGAACGGGTGGTTGCTTGAACGCCGGGCGGATGTCCAACCGGTGGCCCAGCAAGCGCATGCTGTGTACTATATCATTACGCGCTACGAACCTGCAAAATGTCTCGTTCACGGTGGGGCCCTGGGCGGTGACGAATTTTACCTCCGACGAACTAATAGGCCAGCAGATGTGTGGCTACCCTCACAGCCGACTGCCATAGAAATGACAGATCGGCAGCAGCAACCGCTCGGGGCTACCACTGCAGCAACGATCTTGACCTTCTAAGCGTGGTCACAAATTGTCCCGGGATTTGGCCGGAGCTTGAGAATCCTTTAAGCATGTTGTGACTATAGCCCCTTCAGCGCCAAGACCAGCAAACGCGAAATGGCAACAACCGTGTTCATGCGGTTCAGCAGGTTCCTAGTCCGAGCCTTGCAGCTTCACACCAAGCAAAACCACAAGGTACTCTGTACAGCACAGAAGAGTCACATACGTGTAGCAACAACCAGTCGGCAGGACCTCGTAGAGGCTGTGGCTCAGTGGCAACATCTCAACAATCTCGTAAGATCCTTGGCAGCTCAGCTCCAGCAAACACATTTCCAGGTCCTCCGACACCGAACCGGCGTGCGTGCCTAGCACAACCTGCTGTTCATTCTAGTATGCACCACCGCACCCATTCAGATTCCGTTCAGAAACAAGACCAACTCTGCAAAGATCCAGGAGGAGCTGCAGCAAACCAATTATTTCCTCTGTCGCGATATCAACCCCGGCGAGACACCAAGGAACTCCTGCATCACGGGTCCTGCAGCCGTGAAATCTGCCATGAACATTGTGCAAAGCCAGTTGCGCTCAACGTGCTCCGCGCCATTTCGGAGTCCTCCACCCTGACCCCAAAAGACTGGTATTGCATGCTTGCCACAGCGCCGCATCAACTCTTCGACCTGCAGGAAAATTCTGCGCTGCATGCGCTAGATTGCGACTGTCCATTGCAAGCCGGCGGCCTCTTCGTCATCGGCGTAAATGCAACACGCTGCATGATCCTGACCATCCAAATCCAGCTTGTCACGGAATCTGATGTCAGAGGCATGCTCTGTGTTCAAGCACCCGCCACTGGTATTTCACCCCTAATGCAAGGGCCTAGAGCCTGCGGGGGACAAGGGTGGGTCGCTCACCGGACCACTGCATATACACAGTTATGCATGTATATGTACATGTACCAAAGCACCCAGTACATATATGTACATATTATGTATATACACACGCGTGTGTGTGCGTGTGTGTGGGTGCGTGTCTTGGTTACTATCGGTGGCGAAGCTCACACAACCAATAAAGTTCTCATTGCATACATTTACCAGAAGCTCTCCAACAGAGGCGACGTTTATCAAACAGAAGTACCACGCACCAGAGGAGTTTCATGGAAGAGGCCATATACAACTTGCTTAGCAGGACAGCACATACGGAGAAAAACTTTGCGGGGGAGGGGAACCCACCGGAACAAGCAGCTATCTGGCAGTTGTATGTAGCAAACCAAATATGCCCCATATACCATATGGTGGCATATGGACCGTTCCCCGACTACCGCACCGGAGTCTGAGCGCAGAGAATCCACATGGGAAGTCGAACCGAGGGGGGACCGGAATAGCCAGGTCGCCAGGTGAGGGGCGGCGCAACATTTCGCAAACCACATGTAGCCCGATCTAAAATGTGGCAGCATATGGACCAGGGGGGGGGGGGGTCGTGATTTTCGAATGGTTAGGCCGAAGGTAACAGGTGTTCCGTGGAGATAAACACTTTGTCCTGGTAAGCAGCTGCACGGGAACCGCGTTCAAGAAGACAAGCCGCAGACAGGAAGCACCAAGACATTAGAGCCACATATAGCCACATCATCGGTGACATTAGAGACCGGAGATCTGAAGTCAGTGTGTGTGTGTGTGTGTACGCATATACATGTGTATCCGTGTATATACATGCGCTATTTGATGGTATGTGGAACATCAGTATTCCTAAGTACAAACAACAAACCAATGTAATCAATTTGCATGGACAACTACAGAATCGACATATGAACATTACTGTTAGAGTCACATTAGTTATTACCGTAGCATCAACGCTTCTATGAACTTACTTCTTTACCTATTTACATACATACATACATACATACATACATACATACATGCACACACACATACGTGCATGCATATGTACAACTGTATATATATATATATATATATATATATATATGTATATATATATATATATGTACTTATATATATATATGTATATATATAAGTACATATATATATATATACACACGTATACATACATATATGTATATATATATATATATATATATATATATATACATAGATATATAGATATGTATACATATGTACATATATATATATATGTATATATATATATATGCCTGTCAGTGTTCTCTCGAAGTAGGCGCGCGACCAGGAACAGTGGATTTTGTTCGTGATGCAGGAAGAGGCCTGAGATGGCAAACAAGCAAACGAGAGCCTTGTTGGTTGGACTTGAAGTCTGCAATTGCTGCTTGCTGCCCGTCGTGACAGTACGGGCGGCGAGATGACGTACACATCACGAACTCCCATACCCATGAAAGGTTTCTCAGTAGCCCGTCGCAAAGCATCCAGATACATTCTCAGAGAAGCACCTCTCTGTATCCACTCCCGTGACACTGTCTCAGCATGTCTTAGCCCTGAGCAGGTTGCCAGCTCCACATTCAAATCCTCATCTCCTCTGCAAGCAATCGCGGAATCCCAGCTTGGCTTCGCTTCTGAGCAGTCATCTCGAGGACTTAGTGAAGTCAGCCTCGTTGCCGCCAAGATTCGGGCCAAGCAAAAGCCACGCATGTTTGAAAAGGACGGGAGCGCAGCCTGCATTCGTCTTAGATTCTTAGGTTCGTCGCTGGCAAAAAGCCGTTCATCGTGCAGTTGCAGCCATGCTCTGGGTTCTGGTGTCGACTACAGTATCCTCTTCCCAGGATCTTGAGGCGATGGCAGGGCTAAGGCTGTGTCTACGTGACACTGCTAAAACATGCAAGGGATTCTGCGCGATTCTTGCGGGATAAATAGAAGCTTACCGTCGTGCCAGCATCCCGCTGTCTGTACTGTATGATCTGTATGTGTTCTGTTCGAAGGTGTTCCCGCAGTTTTTACGAAAGCTCGTGTAGAGAAGCCCTGGGTCTGTCTGCTCGTTCTTGGAACATCTCGGAACAGTCGACCAGCCCTGTGGCACGGTCTGTGAGGCGTTCCCAACCCCGTTACGCGCCCCTGTAGGGCCGGTATGATGCCGGTTCTCGGTTCGCCGAACCCCCCCCAATGGTATGCCTCCCATCACGTGCCTGGGTCCAAACATGCCGAATCCCTGTGCCGCGCACACTTTTCCCACACATGGCGGCTCCAAAAGCGTTAACTGTCACGAGAATCTCATCCCAAACACACCCCGTATGAGAGTGGACACCTTCCACCACGACTCCGACATGAGTGTATTGAAAATGCAAATGTCACGTGGATCGCGTTCCAGACAGGCCCGCTTCCCGTGACAGCTGACCCAAGAAAGGAACGTGACGATGATGATGATGATGATGATGATGATGCCAAACCTCTCAGGAATGCCCAAACCGCGAACCACACCACAGCACAGGGGGGGAAGGGAGCCACTCCAAGCAGACCCAAACCCCGAACCACACCACGCCACAGAGGCGGCAAGAGAACCAGGCCAGGCGGGACGGGGGGCCGAGCCGGCATCATGTATAGGGGCTTGTGGTGAGGTCGGACAGAGTCCGGAACCGGAACAGGCTTGCTCATAGGTTGAGGGCAGGCTGTCGCGGAGTCTTTGTTTCTTTCAAGACATTCCATCCTTCAACGGAGTATATACGAGCATGCAGGGCCCGTGCGACTGAAACCGTGCGTTGATCTGCATCTGCAACCTCGATCTCCTGTCGAGAGAACCACCTCTCGGGGTCTGCCTCGGCTATGAACTGCAGAAAGCGGCAATGCGCTCGAGAACCGAATGATTGAGTCCTCTGCCGATGCCATAAGCTGGTTTTGCGCCAGCGACCTGAATAAGAAGGAAAACAATTGCATGCAGGATTCAGTTTTGAGACGCTGAAACTGCCGGTCTGGATTCCCCTCGGCATTCCCAATGCTGTGTTGCAAAATGTCTTTGCATGGTGGAGTTATGCATGGTGATCAAACATGTAACGACACCAGCGCTAACAAAATTACATGAGCACGCGCTGCCATATTTCATGCGTCTAGTTTCAAAGCATGGCTGGGGTGGGTGGGCAAGGGTGGATGGGGTCGGTCATGGCGGGTGGCTGGGTTTCTGGGTGGCGTATGTGCATGTTCGGAAGCCCAGTGAAGCCCAGTGTGTTTGAGGTCTTGGCAGAAGTCCAGGTCCACACTGCAAGGCGGCGGAGGGGCTTCGGGCAGCTCCGCCGAAAGAAGCTCTCTCGTACTCCATAAGCACAACGTACTTGCATCCGCTGGCTGAAGGATCCCGGTGGGGATTGCTTGGGAAGCATCATCTCATAGTCATGTTCATCTCACTTCGTGCTACATCATTGTCGATGTCCGATGTATCGGGGCAGAAACCTTACCCCATGCGCATCATCCCATCTTGCTTTGGTCAGCATCATTTGAGATAGACATCTCCTATCATCCATCACTACTTTGCCTCAAACTCAATGGAGTGTGATACGACGGCCCTCCTACACGGCGCCGTCGTGGGCTTCAATCACTTGCGAGGTTGTTCAGCTGCACTTTCGAGCGCTTCACTCTTGCTCTCTCAGTGGGCTCCTCTTTGTTGAGGTATTCCGCCTCCCGATGCGACGCAAATTTCGACTTGCTAGACTTGACTGGCCCCCATTCATCAATTCATTCATTCGTTCATCCATGATAGGAATGACATTTGCATCTGCCACGCGGTCCAACCCACCGATGATGCACACGATTCCTCCGCCTGCTGTTCTGTCTCGCCGAGTCTCGCCCAGTTTACACTTTTCCTTATTTTGCCGCAGTGTAATTCGAAAGTAGGACTCAGGACGGAATGGGCGGTTGCCATGGTAAAATGCTGACGCGTTGGCTCATGCGTATTGCTGTGCAAGTCTAACGAAGCAACAACGACTGTAACGCCTCTTGGCCTCCACTCGGATGAGCGCAGTTTGTATCTCATGTCGGCACACACCACGAGCACCCCTCATTGGTTGGGAAGAGTCTCCTTTGTGTGTGTGTGTGCGCGTGCAACCCTGAAGCCAAGGGATTTTGAGTGCATGCAAAGCAAAAGAAAAAAAGCAAAGGGGGCAGCGAGCATTTCTTGATCGCGCTGCCTAATGAAGACCGTCCAGTTTTGCTGTGTTTTGAAGAAAGGACGCCCTCTCACGTACTTATACAGATATGGCAACCAGGCCAAGCCATAAACCCGGATTTTCTGGAATGGCATGGGGCAAAACAAAGCCAAGAACCCCTAAAGAGCAACAAAGTGTAGACTACGATCGTAAGAATACGTACCAACCCATGCTTGATTTCAGTCATTCGAGGGTCAGATCAAGCGTGTACACCGGCTGGAAATCTGTCATCGTGCCAGTCGTATGAATACTCACCTTTTGGGTGCAACAGGACAACTTTATCACCTGCCGGAATGATGACAAATGTCGGGACAGCGTCTGTTCGTGCTCCTAACTGCGACATCCACTACTCAACAATACATGACTACTTGTGGCCACGACTCTACAACATGTGACTCCTTGTGTCTACCACTCTACAACTTGTGATCCCAGATTCCACCACTCTACAACTTGTGATGATCATGATGGGACAGTAGTTAAAACCAAGGCAGATCAAGGCAGCATTGGAGGGGTCACTGGTACCTCAGCCAACGAAGACGGAATTCCTGGGTCCGTCGTGGCAGGACTCCTCACCCCTTACAAGTGCAAAACCTGTACTTTAAAGGCAACCCCCTGTGGTGCCAAGATTAGAAAAAGTACAGGCCCTCTGTGGTGTCCAGAATTGTCCAGATTAGACTTGTGAGCCTTGAGTCCTGATTGGTTCCGGAACCTCGAAAGTTTCATGCTTTCAAGATTACGTCAAGCAATGCTTGATAAACAACAGATGAGTGGCTGCGGGCGGGGTGGGGGGTGGGGTGGGGGTGTGTCGGTCTGTGTACCTGTATGCTAACCCTGATGATAAGAAGCCACATGCCGTGGCAATGAAGCTAAGTTTGTTTCTGGCAGAGCAACTCTAATATACTTCTCTGCAGTGACCAGATCCCCCCCTCCTTACCCCAATTGGGATCAGACTGAACGTTGCTCTGCCCTGACAGAAGCGCTTAATACCTTCTTTGTGCTCGCCGACCTGATTCGAGTTGCGCGGCGCTGCTTAGGGAGGCGCGCAGGCGGGCCGAAGCCTGAATTGGAACAAATTCGCATAATTCGCACTTCCTAGTGTAAGCCCAGCAGCTGCCTTCAGCGGAATGTAGAAAATCGCAAGGCCGCTCGAGGTAAACACCTTAACAGCATGTAACAGCCTTAACAACTCTGCTTAAGTTTCTATCAAGACGCCTCAGACTTGACGGCAAAGTCAAGTGCCTTCACCGCTGCTGGCACTGCTTGCACACCCTGTCCAGGAAGCCATGGCACTGTGCAGCTCCTTCGCAGCTCCAACGCGGGAAGGTTTCCACGCGGTTTAGGCTTCTGACTTGTTGTGTGATGAGTGGTGGACGAAGCTCTGCTGATAATTGCTTTGCGCCGGAGCTCCTCCGATTTCACCACAATCAGCTGCGCTTTCGGCACGCAGCGTCGCAAGATGTCGATCGCATGCAAAACCTGCCTTAGTCTGCATTCATTCACACACCTGGATTTTGCGCAGAGCTAAAGGCTGCGTAGACTGCACATCCACCGACAGCAGGTCTCCTATCTTCGTCTTCACGTGAGGCCCAGTGAAGCACCTAAACAAAAACCACAAGTCTGGGAAAGGCTGGGATATCCCATCATGGCCTCTCCAGGTAAGCATTTAAAGTAAGGATATCCCACCCAAAAGTGCTTTGTGTTTTCTGCTCATGAGCTTTCAGTATTCGAAATCTGTTTGAGCCTGGTGGTAGCATGCCGTCGTCATTCACTCTTGCCTGGGCCTGATGGCTTGGCTCCTCAAAAGAAGCCGCGGGAAAGCCTGCTGGGCAACCAATGCAGCTCACACCTCTCAACACGATGTGACGAATGGCAAGGTCTGGAGTTCATAAGGAACCCGCAGGGCCCCAAGGAATGTGCTTTTGAGTGCAGCACGAATTCTTACGAAGCATGTCGAAGTTCAGAATTCAGAGTTTTACGTTTGCACGGCGCGAGGGTAACCATGGGACCTGTGGTTCCGTCGTGCATCCAGAACAGGTCCAAGACACAACCTTTGGCGATCACCACCAATATCTAGAAATACCTGCAAAGGGCAGCATTTCTCAAATCGATGATCTTTTGGACTCTATTCTTCTTAGATTTCAATAACGCCGCCAGCCTTCTTGCAGTGAGCTGCAGCTGGAAGCGCCGCTAAGCGGTCTGCCTCTTCAAAGATGTCCTTGATGCAAGCAACTGGCAACTGAGATTCAACATCTTCGGTCTAAGCTCGAACACAAGCTGATACATCTGATACACAGGCTGAGGCACAAGAAATTCAAACTCAGCCCCTGGAACTCGGCGGCGGCTTTCGGCCAGCTGGGCAACAGACACGTCGAGACCAAGTACGTCAGCCGCTCTGCCAGTGTGCTGTGAGGACCGCAGATCCAGAAAGCACTTTGGGACCACAACTGACTGCAACTTCGAATCCCTGCTCGTGCCTGGCGTGTAGAATTTCTGTGCAGTGGCCCAAGCTGCTGCCAACTTCAATGACGTGATCCTGCTAACTCGTTCTTCATGTGTGCACGTGGCAACCGTGCTTGTTGATACTTAGCAATACCAAGCCAATGGCATTGCCATCATGCAGAACCGTGTGGTTGAACAGATTCCTGAAAGAAACGCATATACCTACTGTAGAAGGGAATGAGAGTCAAGACAATACTGAAGCGTGGGGTCAAACGCGTAGAGTGTCCTCGGCGGACACGAGGTGGCGGGCCAGATTCCTGCATCCACGGGAGGCAGAAACCAGTTTCAATGACTGCCGGTTCTCATCTTAGAGGCCCATTCTCTGCAAGATGGCTGAGGTCATGACCGTACCGCCAGCAACTGAAACTCACTGCAAAAGTCCATAGCCACATATTTATGCATATCACATCATGTCCTATCAGATCAGATCATGTGCGCCTGTAGTCGATTGTGCTCGCAACCACCACGACGGTCGATGAAGTTGATGGACATCTCGCTCGAATGTGACCTGTGACCTGGAATGATGCCGGCATCACCAGACTCTGTTCCACCAACATCTGGAATCGCAATTACAAGTTCCGCCGTCCTGCTGTGCCACAAGCCACGTAAAGTCCAATTCATCCACATCCGGACGCATGGCAGCTTCTAAGAAGTCAGGACACTGAAACATGTTATCGCCTTTCGCAACAAACTTGCTAGGCATGTGTAGCATACTTTTTCTTTTCTTACTTGAGCCGGTTACTATAGCTGCGTCGCAAGGGAGAGGGTGATGCCAGCTCTTTTGGTATTGACAAGTGTCGAGCTGCCGGCCCTTGGCCCTTGGCCTTGATTGGGCGTATTTCATGTCTTTGCGAGAATGATCTCATTCGATCTGAAACCGTAGCTCGTGACAATGCGTAATCAACTGTGCAAGCGAGTGATCTTGACTCGTTGTCTCTGCTGCTCATCAGTATTCCTTCGTATGACTGATGGAGAGGGGGAGAGGGAAAGAGGGAGAGAGACAGAAGGGTTCAAAGGCTTCGTGCAGTGACTTACACAGGGGTAGTCCGAAGCAACAGTCATGCATGGTTAGACTCTCTTGGTTATAGTTTCAACTGTGCTTCGGGGGGAACCACCCCTGGTCTCACTAAGAGCCAAGGTCGACAAAGGACCCGTGCTGCCAGCCGAACCAAGAACACAGCTGCACATTCGTGTTCCCACCCGGCACAGCGGGGGACCCCAGGATCGGGAGCAAGCAAGCAAGACAGACAGAGAGTGGGCATGATCCAGACATACCCCGATACAAACCTCTTCCTCCCCAACCCCACCATACCCCCCAAGTTCAACTTCGGCAAACTCCGAAACTCTCCCTGCACTCGTCTCATCAACCTTTCATGCATACCGCGGTGAGCAAGCAATATATTATGCCCGCGACATACACCTCTGTGCGAACATCCATCATGTCGCGAGGTCGCCTTTTCTTAACGGAGCTGACTGTAGGCTCCGCAACTGCGAACCACTTTCACGGAAGGATGCTATTCCTCGCATGCACTCGCAGCTATAATGTTAATCTGTGCCTTCGAAGGCAGACGGAACGGAAAGGCAAGGCGGGGGGGGCAGAATCGAAGTGATTCAATCTTCGGTCGTGCCCGAGGCGCAATCTATGCACACTGAGTTGGAGTTCCGACAAGTGGGCCATCCCGTCACACAAGTAGACGCGCACCGGGTCTGAAGCGCTGCCAATTGTTTGTGCGGCTGAATTCGTGGCGCCGCCGCAGCCAAGAGTATCAACGGTACGAGGCATGAATCCCAAGCTTGTCCAAAAGCTCTCCAAGCCGTTTTCAACTCTCTGAAGGCACAAAAGAAGATCACTCGGGGTCTTGCCCTTGCAAAAGTTGGCCACGGCCGTTCCAACAGTAGCATCAGTGGTCGAAAGGGATTCCGACGCTCCTTGTCTGTGATCACATGTGCCGTGCCCACACGAAACTGGAAAGCACGATTAGCCGCGAACAGTTCCCCAGATTTGGCAAAGTTGTGGAAAGCCAGTATGAAGAGCACTGCCGTGTCTCGCCACCCAGCTTCAAAGGCCAGTTGAGCCGACGTGTATCGAACGGAGATTGTGGCGGAGGGAATCGTCACGGTAACTGTGATCCACCCCGTGCCGCGCGGAGTCTCCAGCTGGAAATCACATGGGGCTTGACCGAAGGAAATGACCCAAGACACTCAAAGCATCTCTTGCGTACGCTTTTGGATCATCTTCATCCCAAAGCTTGTCAATGAAAAGCCATGAATCAAGAATACACCTGGCTTATCTCAAAAACCTTTCTAGGCCGAAGCTGCGCGACACGGAGGCACTAGTGGGAAAATCGAATTTGCAGTGTGCGACAGACGGCGGGGATCGGATCAACCCTTAAGACATCTTAAGCATCCTGGATGAACAGGGGGCCAGGCAGGTAGAGGACCCAATGTGACCTGCTCATTAACACTTCTGTCAAAAGGCCATATCTTCAAAGACGAGGACCGCAACGATCAAAATCTTGTCAAGGCCAAACTGTACAATCCACTGATGTTCAGCCGTCACAAGCCGCTAGTTCTGCCGGTACGCAGAAGCTAAGGTCATGTGAAAGCCCTCATGTAGCTGCTGGGCAGGGGGCTCTCACGGCCAGCTGGAGACATTTTTGAGCCGCATCCATGCGCTTGTGACTTGATTCATAGCTCGCATCTGCCGGGGTCGGCGCTCGGAATGTGGGCCGAGATGATGTGCTGTTGCCGCAAGGCTGAAAGACAAGTGAATGATAATTGCAGCTATCATGGGAACAGGCCCAAGAAAACTGGGGGTATCATGGAAGGACCCAGAGTCAAGCCAATCCATGATTTCATGCAGGCCGCCATCCGCCCATCAAGACCTTGGCAATGTGCAAGCCCTGGAAAGTCAAGATGACCCTTCCATGTTTGACACGACTATGAATCCAACTCTTTGAAGCTTGGGTCGCTGAGAAGCTCAACAACCAATGGAGTGGGTTGTCCATTAAGCAGGTGCAAGCCGCCACCCCACAAGTTGCGTTACATACTGGTGTGGTTTGGATTTCCTGTGCGAACAGTCAACAATGAGGAGTATTGTATTTGTGCGCGATGGGCTTCGCCCAAAGTCAAACTGCAGATGCTGGTCAGACGGATCCGGAAAAACTGAGTCGCTGGCAGTGCTGCAAATCTTATATGCCAGTCTTCAGGCATCTGGGTGATCCTCCCACCGCCTGGTGGAGCTCCAATTCTACAGACGTCGCATGGAAACGGAATCCTCTAGAGTCTTAGTCTTGGCCGAAGCATACTGATAGCGAAGCGCAAGCTCAATAGCACGCTGAAACTACGCAACGAGGTTCTCGCCAATCCCACCTTCGCAAAGGAGATGGAGGCTACCGCCTGTTGACCTGAAAGACACGTAACATGTGCGACATCACGCGATCAGATGCATCGATGGTGCGCGAGAAAAGCAAGCTCAACACCCAAGCACCATCATGAGCACCACCTTAAGCACCGGCAGAACACATTTGGCATCCTGAACGATCCTCGGAAACATCTCGACACTTGTTGAGTACTGTGTGTTTCCATTGAGATCTGCCATTCGCAGACCCGAGTCTGCAGGGTCACAAGTTTCAGTGCCCCTGCAGTGCAACCACATCATGGACTCGAACTGCACTGCGCCTGCAGGCAAAAGACCACAAGAATAAAGAATTATGAAGATGCCTAAGACGAAGCGACCACGCAGCGCCGGCGGTCAAAGCTACGACTGGGGTGAGCACCGCGCTATCGAAAACTGAAGGCTCTGCAAAGCCGATGGGAATCTGCAATGCGCAGCAACAAAGCTCGCTCATTCTGATTCAGTTTTCGTCTTTTTGGCAGGGCTATCTCCATGCTGCATCTACAAGTGTCTCCAGAAAGTTCTGAAGCGCTGCAGCTGGAGATTCACATTATCAAAGCTCCGAGTTCTGCGGGAGAAATCCGCAGAACGAAGCGACCTTCGCCCTTCTGCCTCAGCCGAGCTCCAAGGCTTCACTTCACCTGAGGTCACCTGCAGCCAAGCCATAGCCCCATAGCAAGGGACGTGCTACTGATTCTCTGGATCAATGAGATTGGCAGCCTGCAGCTACCTCCAAGCTCAAAGGCATCCACGAAGAACGCACAGAGTTGCCTTGGAGAAGTCTTGTATGCAAACTCGTTCGGTCAGAGTACTGTCACCATCTACATCGCACGTACTGAAGGCAAGTGAACACACCGAAGCTGTCAAATTTTTGGCTGAGGTTCGCTTGGTACTCTGTCGGAGACGAGAGGTGCAGCGCCCTCTGCTCGTTGCAAGCGTCACTGCTTGGGCCGGTATAGGTCGACAACCAACTGCAGACATGGCAAGGCTCAGTAGGTCGTACTGAGACAGCTTGCAGTGCACAAGATCCCTTGAGATTTTTGGGTTTTCCAGCCTGACAGAGTCTATTTGACCATTCCTGGAGACTGCGGAGGTGAGCAAGTCGTACTGCTCATCCTTAGGCTAAGGCAACCATGATTGCATGATATGCACAAGTTCCGGCGTCGGATCGTCTTAGAAGAAGCATCGCGGAAAAGCTCCTTTCGCGTTTTAGCTAAGAGACTCCAGGAATCACGGCGTCCTTATTTGTTGCAGTCTGCAAGAGAACAGTGCCATGCAGTGCCGCATCATCGTCCTCTGTCATGATTGCGCGGTGCAGTAGTCAGAAGCTGCAAGTACCAAGACACATCCGCAGATCGGAAGATGCCGATTCTGGTGCCGTTGTTCACAGTCCGATCGGCAAAGCGGCCGCTCAGACTGGCCTGGGAAAGCATTGTAAGCCCAGTCTAGCTAGCGACTAGGATCCAACAATTCTGGAATGGCTGGATATGGCTGGGCCAATGCTGGGCCTCACTGAGCCTCGTCTGTAGGTTGAACTCGCAGCGGCTCTTTACCTGTGCATCGCGGATTGCGAAACATTGGGAAGCATATGACGCATGTGACGCACATGGCATCGCAGTCCTGCTGCGTCAAAAGGTTCCTCAGCATCGTCGAGCTCCAGCTTCCCAGGAGCCGCACAACATGTTCCCGAATGAGTGCCTCTGTCACAGCCGACTCGATTCTAAGGATGTGCCGTGGCTGTTGGCCTCGAAATCGTGCACGACTCCGTCCACCAGCAGAGATCGGATGTGCGGCTCGCGAAGGAAAGCACGCTGCGCGGCGAAGCCACCGAAGTCGAAACCTTGGAGTCGAGCTACGGAACAGAAATCGTGCTGGCGGTAGCCCAAGTCCCGGCACGTAAGCCTTCGGTGCCAAGGCTTTAGCCCATGAGGGCAACCTGGTTGGCTGGCAGCGCACCTCCCCATCTGCATTGGAACTTTACGACTTAGTACCAGGCATTGCCAGCTATTGCATCTCGTGGCCTCCAAGGAGACCCTCTGGGTCCTCTGCCGCATAATCCCAAGCCCCAAGAACCGTGTCATCGTCCAGCAGCCAAGAACTCTCATTTTCACGCCTCGGCGACTCAGCACCGCCCGGGGACGTATTGTTGCTTATGTTGCTTGTATGCTGCTTCGCTGTTTCGCTTGGCTCGGGATTGGGGCTTTGCATCCATGCACAGGGCACAGGGTCCACCGCCTGCAGGCTGGGCACATAGCTTGATCAAGACATCGATACAAAGTCAAGTTACGCAGTGGATGTCTTCCCCTGCCGGTTGTGCGACTTTGTTGACAAAGCATCCTAGTACTAGTAGTAGTACTAGTACCAGTAGTAGCACTAGTACCAGTAGTAGTACCTGTCCAATACCAGTACCGCAAATGGTGCAAGCATGTGCAAGCGCTGCAAGTGGTGCAAGATTGCAAGAGTAGCAAACTTAGCTCCCAAACAGAGCCCTTCGTTTCCCAGCACGTAGTAGTAGTAGTAGTAGTAGTAGTAGTAGTAGTAGTAGTAGTAGTAGTAGTAGTAGTAGTAGTAGTAGTAGTAGTAGTAGTAGTAGTAGTAGTAGTAGTAGTAGTAATAGTAATAGTAGTAGTAGTAGTAGTAGTAGTAGTAGTAGTAGTAGTAGTAGTAGTAGTAGTAGTAGTAGTAGTAGTAGTAGTAGTGGTGGTAGTAGTAGTAGTAGTCGTCGTAGTAGTAGTAGTACTACTACTACTAATAATAATAATAATAATAGCAATAGCAATAGTCAAGTAGGCTAACGGGATAACGGTCGAAAAAAGTGGTTTTCTTTTGTGGAGTCATCGCTGAACTTTCGTGCCGGCATGTTGTGCTACGCCCGCGGTCGTTTTGTATAAACACTGGGACAATGACCTTTAGATCAATGCACATATAACTTACAGTATACTGTAAGCCCTTCTTCAGCCTAGACGGACCTGGCCAGTCCCAGTCATGGTCGAGATGCGCCGCCGCGAGATCTTCGATCTCAGCAGGTCATGCTCTGTGGGTTGTGAAAAAGGCGACTGACTCGTGAGACCTCAGCCTTCTGAGGACTTCACGATCAGCGCGCTGATCCCTGAGAGCCGGAGGAAGTAGCCAGCAGCCTGTGCCTGACGGAAGCTGCAAAAATCCACAGGTCGACCGTATGCTACAAAAAGATGATGGCAGTGCACCGCGCTGGCAAGGCCATGCGAGCGACGTCCATGAACAACCACCTGATTCAATGTTTCAGCAGCAGAGGGTCACGTGCAAGCCTGTTCGTCGGAAGAACATGATTGCAATGGCTCCTGATGTCATGCACGCAGGGCCTACATCTACAGCAGGGTTGCAACAACACTTGCACGGTGGGCTCGTGAGAACAGAAACTGGCAATTTGAGCAAAAAATTAGGATTGCTGATCGAAGGCATTGCGTTATTAAGCGTTGACAGGCTGTCATAGGAGCAACAAATCGACCCAGTCGTTTCTCCGATGTTGTTGGTCTACCAGATACTTTACAAATACTGCCAGATGCAAGCAATGCCAAGGGGCTACACGTGGCGAAAGGGAGGAATTTGGCAGAAAGATTGCTCTTGCCTGGGCTGAAACGCACGCCGCATGCAAAGAATCTGGCCAACTTTCAGGCCCAGCCGCCTGCTTCCCAGAGCGCGAAACGAAACCGACCTCCCGAAAGCCGTGCTGACGATTGTATTCTTCGATCTTTTCGAGCAGCGGTGAAGCCTGAGTTCCATCAAAACGTCGTAAGCATCTCAATGCCGCAAGAGGTACTTCTCTGTGGCGAGATAGAAAACTCAGGCATGAACTTGCTGCTTCAGTGCTACACACTGCCCGCGCAGCGCATCAATCAGGTTCTCTGGTGTGCCGACCTGACAAACCACGTGACGCAGCGGACGTAACATAGAACTCAAACTTTTCAGACGGCTTCTACGCCCTTCTGTGTGACAGCGCCGAGAGGGAATTGAGAATGCCGGTTAATACTCACCGTAAACACGGAGCTCAGGTGGCTACAGGCATAGCTTCGCATAGATCGTGGCAAGACAAGCTGCAACAGCCAAGAATAAAGCACAATCTTCGCTAATGCGTGCTGATGCCTTAGGCCGGCGCCCACTGCCAAGGCTCCACAATTGTCAGCTCATCCCCGACCTGTCAAGTCGATGCGTCTGCCAGCACAACACTGCTTGCTTCCATCACCCTGCTAATTTCTGTTACATGTATGGTGTTGCATGTCGGGAAACGACATGTGCAGAAGACAGCGGAATTTTTCAGGCACAAGAACCGACAATCCTGCCGCCAAAACAGCATCGACAAACAGCTGTCGAGCCAACACACTTGAACCGGTGGAATCTCGCAGTGCCCTGTTGGCTGCAAAGACAAAGTTGGGCCAGACTTTGACATGGGGAGCGGATCGAAACCTGCGGAGTGGAGCGAGCCCCAACACTCGGGCTGTCCAGGTGACTGATCCCAAGGGCTGACCTGGTTCCCGAGGACCGCGAAAGCCACAATGAAGCTGATGGTGCAGATTGCAATCACACTCAACAGGAGCCTGAGCTTGGCATCCCATGACCGCTCTGGGCATCCGTTGGGTTACTACAGGCTTTTCCTAAACTTGGAGTTAGAACAAGTCCGAAAATTACATTAGCACCCGCTCCATGAGGTCTGTCCTAACCGTCCTAACCGAAGCTGCTGGATGTTGTACCGCAACTTGCATGTTCAGCAAAGAACCGACAAGCACAGCCTCGAAGACCGCTGAGATTTGTTACGCACACTTGGCTGCGTCTGGCACGGACTGTCTCTGTGGAGGTCTGGTACTGTATGGATGTCAACAGGTCGATGCAGGTTGCGGTTAGGGATGTCAACAGGTCGATGCAGGTTACAGCTCGGGTTTCACTGAAGTTCTTCGCTCATGGGGGATGTGATCCAGCGGTGGATTTCCAAACCCGTGCAGCAGAACTCTTCAGAAGACCCAGTTGAGCTCAGCGGCAGGATTCCGCGCCTGAATGCAAGTGTCTACATAGGAAGTGCATCCGAACTTAAGCAACTTTGCGCGGAACCTAGCGCTGTCTGATTTCTGATCCACTTGAACCTCCCACTGCGTTCTACCCCACTTGAACCAGTTGGTTCGCTTGAAGTCGCCGGTTTCCCCACTCGGGCTGATTGGGTCGCTTGGGTCCACCCTTTGTGTGTTTCCTTCCCTTTCCAAAACCCTTCTTAAACCCTAGCCCCAAACCCCAAACCCTCCCGAACCCCTAAAGCTCGTAAACCCTACCTGTGAACATGTCCCTGCTGAAGAGGAAGGACATGCGCCCGCTAGTGTGACGTCACATCCGTGGTCTCGCCTTGAAGTCGGTCCTCACTTGCGATCTTTACGCAAGGATCGAGAAAGGCAGCTTTTTCAGTGGCTTTAGCTTTAACTCAGCGCCATGCGTATTGCACGGCATCAAGAAGTGAAACCAAGGCTCCGTGTCATTCCTCACAAATGTTTGAAACCCATGAATACTGTGGGCTGCAGCAACGCAAAGACCTGTGCATGTGCCGGCTGCGGGAAGCAGATGCGACGCGCGAGACCATGTCTTGCGTCTTTGACACGCAACGATCGGAATGCAAAAACCTTATGCCGACGCGGTCGCCGGAGGTCCACACGGGGTTTGACACGGAAGACTAGGGGAATCCCATTGCGCAAAAAATGGCGCTCCACTCCCGCAAAACCTGTCGGTGTGCTGACGACTCGTTAGCCGGAACGCCCTGTTGTCGGGAATTGGGTCAAGCCGTTTACTAGGGTGCCAATGCGGTGCACCTGACGGCGGAAGTCTCTGACAAAGCAGTGACATCAGCTTCAGCCTCAGCAGAGGCGTGGGCCTTATGAGCACGCTGGTAAGATTAGCCACTTCGGCAGCCACAGTTAAGCCGAGGTCGCCACACTTGGCGGGAAACGGGGAAACTGGGAAACTAGTCCGTGTATAAAAATCCAGCTCTCGAATCTCGAAAGCTCACAAACCGCACAGCAGACGCAGGCCCTGAAACGAAAGTCGCACCATGATGGTGCCGTTTGACGCCGAGGGAACTCAGACAGCAAGCGGACATGGGCACGGGCCAGGTGCGCCGCTTACGGCAGCATACGGTCCAAGATTTCCGCAGCTAGACCGACAAACGGCCACCAAAACACGCATTTCGAGAGCTGAAGTGTCTGCAGGAGCAGGCAAACAGAGTAAGCACGTACGCTCAAGCATACTCGAAGGCAGAAGGTGTTGTCGGTGGTATGTTGCCACAAAAGTTTTCGCCTGTTGCACCGGGGAGCACAGGCAGAACTGGACGACAGCCTCAGCCGTAGCAGGCAAGGCTGGTGGCAAGTACCACAAATTAAAGTATATGGCAAGGGTGGCCTTGTCAACCTTGCTGCTCAAGCAAGCTCTCCAGCAGCACTTGGAAAGTATGCCCACGTGGCAGGCAAACACGACCTTGGGATTTTAGTCTAGCCAATGGACAAGTGCCATCATGCTGCGCTTACACCAGGTAGGCACGACTCCTGCAAGCTGCAACAACTGATCGTAGCTGCAATGGTAGCCTGCTTTCTTCCAGGTCTGCATGACGTGTGCAAAGTCACGGTGTACCACGAAGCCTGCGACATCCTGCGACCTTTTCGCAAGCCGTCGGGGTTCGGACGACTGACATAACATCCGCAACCACAAGGAGCAATCTTCCCTCTGGGCTCGAGAGACCTGCTTGATGTCCCGCTGCATTCCAGGGCTGACACGGTGGTGAGAACGTGACCACATCCGGCGGAAGGTCCAAATTGGTGCCACCACTCATGTTCATATTGGCTGGCCGGGCTACGCAACGTATCCAGTATAACTAACGATTTCGTCTCGGACATGAACCTGTGTCCACAGCGTCTTGATGAGTTGACAGCACCGACCCAGGCTTTCCCAGTGGTTATGATGCAAGCGCAATACTGCTTTACGACAGGGATGCTGCGCCGCATTGCGCCGCAATCCGCTCAACGATGCCTGCCGAACAAGCGGCCCGCAGATGCTGAGGAAAGTTGACCCTGATCAAAACGCGATCCTGCGAAACAGTAGGACTTCTCACGATCTCTCCGCCATCCAGATCTCCAGGCAAGCGGCTTGCAAACTGAAAGAAGCTAGAATCGCTAGAACAGCCTTCCCACAGATGAGAATCAACGGCGCGCAGAAGCTCCCAAACCCTGAACCCTAAACCCTTAAACCCCAACCGCTAAATCTAAGTGGCCGAGATGGACCACCCAAGTGGCCGCCATCCTACCGAACTGATAGCAATGTCAACTTTTCAAAGTGGACAAGAGGCCCATACCGCTTGGCCGCTTGAAGGCAGGCAGACCACAGTTCAAGCGGACAAGTGATTGATGAGGCCGATTTGAACTAGAGGTTCCGGAATCCCAGCGCAATGCATTGAGGCTTAGAAAAGCCCGCCCGGCAATCCAAATTGTCATCAGCAGGCCAACCCAGTCAGCACCCCTGACGCATAATGAATTCAGAAGCAAACATAATATGTCTTCTGCCAAGGCTCCAAACAATTGCATCGACCTTTGCTGCCGTTGCTTCCTCCGCCAGACAGTGACATGACAAAGGTGACAAAGCTGCTCACAAGCTTTCTGATTCTGAGTGAAACATGCTGTCAGCACGTCCCATTCTTGAACGCATCGCCGCTACGTGTGTTCAGATCAGGTGTTGTGGCTTGCTTGGTTCGAGTTTTGGCTGGAGCATCGATCTTGTGATGTCAGCTCTACACGTTGGATGCAGAGTCATGATGAGAGCGCTGGCACCGGCTGTCCTTCAAAAAAAGTCCCGCAAAGCTTCGACGCCCACTGCCTGCTCTGACCAAATGCAATAGTCTGCAGCCCTCTCTTTCAGAACGCGTTAGGCTCAAAGCAAGCACGGAGGTAGCTGAGAACGACGATGAGAGGGCCACTTGGACTTTGTACATGTAGGTGTGGAAAATCCATGAATGCATGCGTGCTGATGTGTGGAGGCGTCGGCGATCGGTTGCCGGGTCACGGGGTTGCATAATCATACCCGGGCCGCAGTGGGACTGGAGAAACAACGGAAAATACTCGAGTCAAACGCGCCGCACCAAAGCAGGAGCCGCGGAACCGCCGGGTACACTTCCACGAGCCCCTCGTGGTGACATTGACCACTCCCTCTTTGCACTTGCCGAAGGTAAGGTAGCGCATTCACACTGTCTGGAGCTTGGGGGCAAAAGTGCGGCTAGCGGCTAGAGAGAAGCGAATGCTAGAGAAAAGAATGTGAGAAATTCTCCACAGATCTTGAAGCTCGCACCGGGCACTGCACTCTTGTCGTACTCATTACAACCTCTCAGCACGGAACTGCAGCCGCTCTGGAGCGTGAAGGTGAAGTGGATGCTATGACGACTTTAGCGCCTGAAGACAAGCGCGCCGAGGGCTTGCTCCGGACCTCCTCGTTCATCGAAGTCGCGGCCCGGACCTATCTTGGCTCAATTTGAAAGCCATGTTCTCTCCAACATCTATTGAAGCTGCGTACTGCAAGAACTGCGAACTATGAGCTACCCGGCAGTTGGCCAATCACCGCAACGTCAAACACCCAACAAACCCCCCACCCTGAAGTCAATGAAAATCCAAGAATCCATCTCGCGGAAGTCGCCGGCTGACATCATTGCGCTGCCCTGTCCACGAGCGGAAGATCAGAAGCAGGCTGAGTCGGGCTGCCAGCAGCTAGAGCAGCACCAGCATCAATATCTTCGGCGGAATTGTTCAACCAACAAACAATTCGTTGACACGTCGGAAGTTTTGTGAAGCTACGTTGCGAGCACAGAGCTCAGATGAGCATGGCGAATGCACCGATGACGTAGTGACGACCGTTGGTTACGTGCTTTGATGTGGGTGCTGGATTCGCTGGATTCGGATGCAAGTGGGTGCCCCTGTGCTGGGGCAAGGAGCAATTGCCTGCCACATGCTGTGCAGATACATGCTGCGCAGATTGCAGATTGTTTGCCGCTGTCTGGAGACAGTGAGTTTTGCCTCGGGGTTGGCCCAATAGGATCTGGAAGTTGTAAGCTTTGCACTTAGAACTAGGAGAGGTTTAGGACCTTGGAAGGCATTCGATTCGGGAGTCACCAGCCTGCTGCGGACGAGGCAGAAAGAAGAAGAAGAAGACCACTCACGAAGTCGACCATCAACATCATCAGCATCATCCTCATCATCATCAGCAGCACCACCAGCTAAAGCATCAGCGCCAGCGTCGCCATCGCCATCATCAGCATCATCAACGTGATCATCACCCTCAATCTCAAATCAGCCGGTAAGAATACACAGAGCGGACAGACGCTGGTTTACAAAGACGCTGCATCAGGGACAATACACACAAGGGGTGACCAGTGATGGATGTGACGACCCGCATAGTGAGCTGACAGCGCATTGTCTCCAGATGGGGTTTCTGTTGCTTGCCCCACGTACGCATTTATTCGTGGCAGTCCGAGATCTGCAATAGCAAGGCTGTGGACGGTTCATGTGCTCCAGGACCGCAGGAGACCGTAGGAGTGTCGTCAGAGTATACAATGATATACAGAGTTGAGCATGCCACGAAACATGATCGATCCAAAGCATTCTGTGTTCCTCGCCTCTTTGCACCGTTTTAGGACGATAACAGGAGGTGGGGACGTAGCTACTTGGAAGGACTTCGAAAGGCTTCATCATCATCATGCTTATCCTCAAGTCCCTTGCAAACTGGCGAATTTTGACCCTGGCCCTGGCTCTAGGATCACGGTCTTGGATTCCATGGGTCACGCGTGTTCTCTTCCCATGTACAGCTTGTTGAACGCGTCTATATGTGCAGCACAAAGTGATATTCTTTCTGGGAAAAACATGAAAAGCAAACCCGGTAGCAAGCGGGGCCTGGTTCCGGCTGATCGCCAGCAGCTCGTGCGTCGCTTCTTCGCGAGTGGAAGGGGCGGTCAACACCTTCGAACTCCCCTCGCCATCCCACCCCATCAACACGGCACCGTCTTTACCTATTTTTGCCTCTGCATTGAGTTCCTTCAACGTCAGTAGCAGAGATGCAGCATGACAGCTCCGCGAGAAAAGCATCGAAGAGAAGTGACAGTCGGATGGCATCAGCGGGCATCGGCTGAATTACCCTGCTCGACTCCTGTCCAATATCGTCCGGCGAGGCCTGGGCATCCGACGGTGAGGATCGTGACAACGCCTGCAGAAAAGCCCCAGGATGCCCCAGGCCCCCCCTAGCAGCCTAGCACCCTGTCGTGAAGAATCCCTCTTTTCTAGTAGCTCTCGCGGTTTTGCTGCAACGCCGCTCCGCAAGGCTCCGCAGCTCCTCGACAGGGAGGCTCTGCAGCTGGGCGGTCGTTGGAACAGCCTCGCACACATCTCTACACACGATGCTGACGTCTGAAAGCAGTAGCTAACCACCAAGCAGGGGCTGAGCTTCGCTGCTCAACCGGTAAGGCTGTAAGAATTCTTTTCGAACGAACCCCGCTGGCGCAAGGTGCAACTGAATCAACTGAAATGTGACTCGAACAACCTCAATCTCAGAATCTTCTGCCGGCATTCCCTTCTTAAGTTCGCAAAGCACTGGCCATGGCACCTTCTGTGCAGCAGAGCGGTCGTTGCCTCATCTTTCCAAGAAACACGGACTGACAAAGGCACGATGGCCTGATTGTGTGCGATTTGCAGCCCTGGCATTTCCAGCACCCGTAAAATTTCGTTTGCACCACCGCGTCTCCGATAAATTGAAAAAGCAATGACTAAGCAGAAACATCCGAAAACTCTGCCACAATGCAGGCATGATTTCCGGTCTCCCCGTCCGTTTTCTTTCTCCAGGCAGTCAATTGAAGGTGGCAAAAATCCGAGATCCGAAAAGCAGGCGGCGCAACCGATCCGGCCCCGAAGGGCTGGACATGTTTTGAACTACCGACTTTCACCGTTGCTAGCATACTATCACGTGTTTGTGTCGTGTCATGAAGGCCCCCCTTAAAACTTCGAGCCGACTTGACAAGTTTTGAACACCTTCGGGAGCCCAGCTGAAACGCTGCAAAAACCCTAAGGAAGCCACTGCAAACCTGCTTGATATGCTATACGAAGAAAGCAACAAATGCTGTAGCGACCAAGGGAACCCACAAGGAGCCCACCCGAAAGGATGTAAACACCAAGAGCTTTCGGTTTCCACTTCTCGTTATGTTGGCCTGCCGCGGCGCAAGCGATTTCGCATCTTCCTGGGTCCAAACACCTGTGTCCCCGTCGTTCGTTCCCGACGTCCGCCTTGAGCCTGATGTCCGTGAACTAGCTGCAACGTTCTTGTTGACTTCGTTGCGGATCAGGGGGAGGCTCGCGTAGCGTTTCTGTGCCTCGGGGGTTGCTCCAGAGCTCCTTCACAGAGAGTTTCGCCCCATAATTCAAAGGTTTCGTGCCAGCGGGGGAGAAGGCGACACTCTCGAGCACGATGCATGGCGGATGCGGTGCGATAGTTCCACGTGGCGGACCAGCAAGTCAAAAAGACAGACTCGTGTGCGGATGCACGGGTGTGACCCCAACCACGACCGACCGCAATAAGCAAAGCTTCTCACTCCGTGCCCGAACAGAGCTTGACGAGAGTGCCTTTGCCGACGAGGAGGACCGGATCCATGCCCAAGGCCGCATGGTGCTTGCGACCTTTGACGACAAGCTGGCGTGCGAGCACGGGTCAAAGTGGGTCAAACACCCAGGGGAGATCACCAAGGAAGAGGCCAAGGCCGGGTATGGCACCCGCAAAAAGGACTTCCTAGCAGCATCTTTGCGGGCCACAACATGGCAGTCCGCAGCAACCAAATCCTCGAGGAAGTCGGCAACTTTGGCAATCGGCAGTCGCCGTGGGTGGGGCATGTCGTGGAAGACTCGGAAGAGTCTCGGCTGCTTCAGGCGCTGGTAGCTTGAAAGGTCTTCGGCGGCAAAACCATGCCACCGGCGTATACCGGCGTCTGAGCCTCCAGCTTGCACAGCAGGAAATCTCTCTGTCGCAAAGTTGGCACTCCCTGCTGGCCTTTAGCCAATCTTTCAAGCACTGGGGGCACATCAAAGCCGTGCCAACCAATGGCCAACCAAACACCTCTTTCTACTGTACTCCACCTGCAACATGTTGTCCTGCTGAGGCTGCCTATTATACGGACATGCACAACTCCAAAATCCTCACGACAGCCGGCGTCGTCCCGGAGAGAAAAACATGCACCATGTCCGCATCTTCCCCCTTGGCCCAGATGCCCTCCAAATCCTGTTGGAGAGTGGTCATCTCCTTCGTTGCCTGCGAGCAGTTTGTTGAACCCAGCGAGCAGCTCGTTCACCAATTACAGTTTGTCTTCATGGGCCATCGCTGTCCCCGGAGCTAAAGAAAGGCAGCCGCAGTGGTGTCAAACACAACGGGCGGCGCGGTGACGCAGAGCCGCCGCCTCCCTGTAGCCCCCGTACCGTAATCTGTAGACGAGCGCTACAGTGCTAACTCCAAGAACCTCTAAAGAAAGCTCTGTGCCGGGATCATCGGGCCTTCACGGCTGCCGGATCCCAGCTTCTGCAGTGTCACTGCGTACTTCCAGTACTACACTACACGAGACCCACGGCTCAAGATCTTGAGCCATCATTTTGGCAAAAGTCTCTTCACGTTCACTGCAGTCAGGAGGATCCTAAATATCACGGAACATCATCAGGCTGCTGTTCTCACGGATTCGTGACAGTAAGGCTCGAGCTCCCAGAGACCAGCGAGCCGCATGCAGTGACGGCAGCCGAAAATGTTGAGGCAGCATCTGTGGAGAATGCAAAACTGGAGAAGCAATGCTGCCTGGCTTGTAATTAGGGAGGAATACGCTTCACAGTCCTGGATTCCTGATCACGGGTCATGTATGCTGCTGATTGTTGCAGCAATCTGTCGTGACACCCCGCCACTCCGCCTTCATGCGCTTCTCGTGCACAGTCTGAACACCAAGCCATTGGGATCCTACCGAGATGCTGGATAGTAAACTCGGCATGCAACACTTGCTGCTTTCTGCTGACGTGCCAGCCTTCAGATCCACCAGAAACATTGCAAGACCATGGCTTCAAATTCATCCGCACGCTCGAGGAGTGCGAATCTGTGTGTAGAAGACTTCGTTCAACCGATATGCCATATTCACGATAACTGGGCATCCGACATTCAGTCGGGCGAGCCAAGCGAGAGCTTTGAGCACAGTAAGTGCAAACATTGCAAACATGCGGCTCGTTGCAGAGACTCTGAGCCAGCCGGGAGTCGAGACGATGCGAACAATGACAACTGGTGCTGGCGAAAGTGCTCATGTCGATGCTGAGGTTGAGGATGATGCTGATGATGATTGGTGATGTTTGACGACATCCAGAGACACCGATGCTGTTGCAGTATTGAAACGTGTGCTAGAGTCATGTGAATCCGAGTGCCGCCGCTGACAAGGAAGCAGCCGTCTGACCTGAACGAACATGCAGCCAAGTCCATACGTGATCCAGCGACAGCCGCGAGAGAACGCACACGAAGCCTCGCAAGTTCCAGAAGTTGCAACTTGAATTCTGCAGCTGAGCATCGTAGTCTGAACTGTCCCTACACCAGGCGCGGGACTCGCTGGGCGTTGCAGACTGCCCTGGCGAATTACTTCAATTTCGTGACAAATCGCATTCGCAATTCAAAGATCTGAACGAGACTTGCCAAGAGCCTCCGTGGCTTCATCGAAGGAAGAGTACCTTTGCTCATGACTGTAAAATGTTTGCAAGAGATCAACTTTTTGCACCATCTTATTGACACTTGAAGTCTATTCAACCTGAGCTCTGCACCCACGATAAGACATGTTCACGGAATGATTGAAGCTTTGGCTGTGCCTTGCAATCATGGTGCAGGCACCAAGCATAATCATCAGCCATTGAACAAGGACTCTCTGCTGCTGCAAGTCCAACATCTTACTCACGCTAATGCATATTTACACCTAGAGTTCTATTCATTTTCTTTCTAATTTTATTTGTGTCTATGTTTCTTTAATTTTATTTATATATCTATTCATATGCTTCTCCATCTATGTAATCATGATATTACAATAAGACTACATATACACATACATATACATATACATATACATATACATATACATATACCTTTACATATACATATACATATACATAGACATAGACATAGACATAGACATAAACATATACTTTTTGACTTTGAGTGCGCAGCCGGTCGAGCCTGGCCTAGCGACAATCTGGAGACAGGCGTGTAATCGCCCGGCCATTGGCGTGCCCTATTTGGCACTCTCGGAAACGAGCTAAATCAAGAGCGACATCCTGCGCCGATAGCGCCCGAGGATGTACATTGAGCATCAAATGGATTTAACCGAACCATCAATCAAGGCATTGTAAACTGTAAAAGAGGACATATCCTTCTGCCTGTAGCAAAGATTCTCTCGCAGCTAGTGTAGCCGGCGAGGCACAAACTCCATCATCGGTAAGGTACGTGTGCAATATGGGTGGGAGCACTCCCACATGATCCGAGGATGCCGCTCTGGTGACACTGGCTTCGGTAATCAGGAGGGCCCGGTAATGACCTTGCGTGGCCTGATCACCCCTATGCAAGCAAACCGCCTCGAGAGTGTATGCCACTGCAGTGGTGTCCAGGTCTGGACCACTAAACATCGGAAGGTGAATGGTATGCTGGCAGTCAATAGGTGTGCAATCTTTGGAGGATTCTGCGAAACGGGCGATTTGCACAACAGCAAGCCTTGGCAAAGGCTCATTGAGGGCCTGCACGTAACCCTGAGCGGACCACACATTGATTAGTCCCTGAACATCGGTGCATGCGGCAGTAAGTGGCAGGCGAAGCACAGCGGAACTCTCAGAAGATAAGATGTCAATACCTTGATCAGTCAGCACACGAGCCTGATAATGCATCATGACGTTGGTGATGCCAAGGGCCGATACCAAAAATTGTGCGAACTCGGCCACATCATGCTGTCTGTGCGGCTCCTGCCAATCACGGGTAAATCGCAACCAATCCGGTAAATCCAAGAGACAGACAGTATTGCGAACCTGAAGCAAAGACTGAATGAGTAGCTTGGCATCTGGCGCGACCTGTGTGGCAGGATGATCCAAGGTCCAACTACTCCATAGCCATGCAAGCAGAAAAGAGTGTGCATAACACAGATTGGACGGATTAATTATGGAGCCTTATCGAGAGGATAACTTCGCGATCTGCATCTGGACGTGGTTGGCCAGAGCTGACCTCTGTAGCTTGTCCGGTCGGATGTTGAACGAGGCCACTTGAGTGATGGCACATTGGCTGAGAGATCGCAGGAGGGTATATGCTTCCTGCGCTTCCGCAGCTCGGAGTCCAATGTCCAGAACGAATGCAATCACTGGGGCCTCGGAGATCTCTGTGAGAGGGCGAAGCGAGTGCAGGCGATGCAACACATTCGGAGCGGGCAACAATTCCTCCAATCGCCTCAGGTCTCTCAGAATTGAGGAATGTGCAATCGGGTCCTTGCTGGCATCGATCTTGTGGGACTTGGACTCGGAATCCCAAAGCAGATAGTTCCATTTGCCCTCTTCGGTGATCCAAAGACTTTGAACCATCTCCTCCCGTGACTTGGCCATGCCTTCCTCTGCCTTCCGAATCACCTCCCCGATCATGAAGAGGCCCATGGTCACCCTTAACGACATGTGGACCATCTGCTTTTCCTTCTTCTCCCGCCAGACCTTGGCTAGCTTCCATAGTTTGCTCGGGAGGGCCTGTTCGTGATTGGAGCAGAAGATCACGAATCGAGTGTCCAGAGCCTGAAGGGCCAGGGCGTCCTCGTGGCGTAGGATGAGTCGGCAGAGGCTGGCCACCACCTGTTGCAGGAAGAGCAATTCGGACTTCCGACGGTCGGCCCGATTGCCTGGTGCTTCGGAACCACGTGGAAATCGTCCCTTGGGGTTGCCCTTCCCTTTGCCCAGACCTTGTTGTTTGTTGATCCGTTCCATCTCGTCCGGTTTCCCCTTCGACCGCGGCCTCTTGGCACTCCCTGCGACCTGCTCCAACTCCATTTCTTGAGCTGTCTCCTCTGGCTGCAGGAGCCCGCAGTACATCTTCATCTCGTCCTGGGGACTCATGGGGAGGGGCTCCACTGAGCCCATTCCTGGGGTGGCCAGGAGAGGAGACGGTGCGAACGTCATGAAGAGGTGGCTCGCTCGCGATTGGCCTGCACGGAAACAATACCCCTTCAAGAAGCATGCAACAGCAGGGAGTAAGACAGTGACGCAGGTGAGCATCGCGCCTGGTGAACGGTTTCCCACACCAAACGCAAGGGTTCGGGGTGGACAAGATTCGAACTCGATCTTCGCACTGTGTGAGCAAAGCGGCGTGCTGAGGGTGTTTTGCACGAATGTGGGATTTAATGTAGCCAGATCGAAGAAGGTACTTATGGCAAATGGGACAGTGATGCTCAAGCGACTGCACAACAGAGGGAAGCTGCAGAATAGAGTACCAGGGACCTTTCTCCAGCCCTTGTTTTATGTCCGGTCTCTGTATCAGCGGCAAGTGGTCCGACTGCTCTGGTGCAATCGTGTGAAAATCGTCACCATGTAGGGCTGCGTGAGCTCTGAGTCCAGCACATTGCTTGTAAGCAAGGTGCAGGTTGAATTCCGGCCAGCCCCAAAAGTCATGATTGCAGAAAAAGCATGTGGGCATGCCCCCTTTACTCAGTGCAACGCAGTCTTTTGTGAGGTGCTGCTGCCAGTCCCCCCGGAGGCTAATCTTGTGCGCCTTAGCCAAGTGCTTATGCATATGTGAGATGTCCGCAAACTCCTGACCACATTCCGGACATGCATGAGTCTCCAGCACCACATGGGTAACTTCAACCAGCTTGAATGATTCACCTTCGGCAGTCGCTCCGGACGGCTCGGCCGGTGTTGTCTGCCAGCTAGAAATTGTGCTGCGGCACAGCTGATGCCATTCCCCGACCCGAGGGGGCTGCACGGTTTCAAGCAGAACGGCCTGGTCACAACATCTATCTGCTTCTTTCAGCAGAGCAACATGCAGTGGTTCAATCCCAAGCCGGGTGAGGAGTTCACCGGTTCTCTCCCTAGTGTAGAAGCTGTGGCTCCGACTCACTGCGCGCAGTTGCTTCGAGACCAATCCGTATATGTCCTTGAGAATATCATCTGTGACCCCAGTAGCTGCTAGCCCGTAAAGCAAGACCGGCTGCACAAGAGACTTCCATAGCTGAACTCGCGTGGAAAGAGTGAGTGCCCGGCGATCGCGAAGGATGTTGCCTAGCCTGTTGAATGTCTGAATGGCCTTCGTCCTGCGCGATTGATAGGTCAACATCTCGAAATTGCGGAAGGAGAGGATTGAAACCAGGTAAGGGTGCGAGGAGCGCCAAGGCAGTTTCCACCTGCCCGCACAGACCCCTTTACCCGTCGGCAGCGTACACACCACCGATTTGAGCGCCTGGGATGCTTTTGGTCCTCGGAGCTCCAGCAGAATGACCGATTTGTCAGAACTGACCTCAAGTTCATGCTCGAGAAGTGTATCAAGGACACAAGCCGCCTCCCGTAGGCCCCGTCTTAGATCGGCAAAGGAACGGATTTCCCAGGTTCCCAAAGTATCATCAGCATAAAGGGTAAGGGAATCTCGTGCAAACTGGGTAGAGGTCCGTGATCGAATGCGGTGTACCAGGTATCCGGAAGTAATCGCCCATAGCTGGGGAGCGAGCGGGCATCCTTGCCGAATGCCGCGACCTGCAATCGCCTCCGAATCAAAGCCAGGAACTTGGAACCTAATTTGGGAGTGGAAGGAAAGGATTAGCTCAACCAGGCCTGTTGGAACATTGGCATGTAGCAGGGCCTCTTTCAGAACCCAAAAGGGGATGGAATCAAAGGCACGTGAGAGGTCAACACTCAAAGCCAGGCCACCAGCCAATTCGAGTCTCTGCTTGCCAGCGCGAGCAGTATGCACG